GACTCCATCTATTGGTGGGGAGCATCACCTGCTGGAAACCGGGTCCAGCGTCCCTTTTACATAGCCTTTGTTTCTTTATGAAAATATGTGGAGCCATAGCCTTTGTTTCTTTATGAAAATATGTGGAGCCAAACCAGGCCGCCAGATATAACTATTGAATCTAGCAAAAAATTATCCCCTGGAAATAGTCTAACAAATAGCCCAACAATGGAGACAATTTTTTTATTTTTTTTTTTAAAGCAACTTCATTATAAAAACCGGGAAACGGGCCCGGTGTCCCTCACATAGATGCTGAAGCCATCATAGGCTAAGAAAGGCACTTCGGCCAACCCTATCCCCGACCCCAGCCATCTAGCTACCGAGACCCCGGCCCCGCCCGTACTATCAGTCCCAAGTTGCTAAAAAGAACAAAACCAACAAAAAGGTCGTTACCTAAATACAAAGAAAAGTCGAATTCAAACCCTATCTATTACTCAAACGCTGTTTACTGTTGACCCGTCATCAAAAAAACGCCCAAAACACAAATTACTCGGAATTACACAAACCCTAGCCAGTACTAATTACCGCAAACAATAATGCTGGAACCGTAACCACTACTGCCAACCGATAGGAAACATACACTGCTAAACTTGGTATCTCTCTTACCCTAATTACTCTCCTATTCAGCCCTGAGACAAAAGATTCGAATCCATAACTACTAAAGACAATAACCAAATAAACCATGAAAAGGTACCACTGGACAGCTATAAACCGAAATTTCGAATCTATACCGTCGGACAAAGCGCAATAAGCAATGAAATCATCAAAAGTTGCTCAAATCAATAGGTGATCGCACGCTGTAATTACTAATTATGTAGAGTTGCCCAAACCCTGATTGCCACTAGCCAATTGCCCAAACCCTGATTGCCACTAGACAGCAGTTCTAACCACGATCACTAGTCCGATCAACTTCAAAATCGTAGATTATATCACAACTATCTAAAGCCTCGCTACCACAGTCACACATATCACAATCATAAAGTCGTCGAAAACCCAAAGATCAGGAGATCCTGAGCAACACCACGTCCAAAGCAGGAGTAAAAGCAACAGTGGACAACCCTGGTCATAGCTGAAGCCCCGGCCAAGCATTTGTCAGCGTTATAGGCGATACCAATCACAGTGTGTAGTCCATCGTCTCTCTCCCGGAAGTCGACGTTTACCGGTACACTCTCATCCGTCGTCTCTGGCTCAGCGACTGAAGACCTAGCCCATAGATTGCCTCAGAAACCTCAGAGATCCAAAATATGTTGCTTTCATGATTTATTGAGGATACCATTGTGAATCCACCATTGCTAATTCTGACGGGGGGAAGGGATCAGGAAAACATTCTGGAGATCTGAGTGTGGTTCCTGGAGGAAGTGAAAACCAGTCTTTGGAGCCAAAAGGAAGTCTCGTTTTAGATTTTCCCCCTGTTCTTCCTTCCCCGGCCATTTCACTTCTCTCAGGCACCCTCCTTCATTTCCTCCCAGCCAATCTTGATTGAATTTTTGAATACATTTGATTATATCTTTTTTTTGATGGAGCTGTTTTTTTTTATCTTTGATCGTACTACTGACCAGTGTGCTCTTATTTCTGTCTGTACAAATTGAATAATTTGTTCAGCAAATTCCATACCTTCAAGTTTTACATCTTCTCTTTCATAAACACACCTCTTGTACCATAGTGCCCATAGAATGGCTTTTCGACCAAGTTCGGGGAGCAACACCTGCTGGAAACCGGGTCCAGCGTCCCATAGATACAAACATTACCTCACCAATTGGCAGGAACTGGGAACCGGGCCCAGCGTCCCCTAACGAATACCTTCAGAAGATTCGTCACTAAAAACCTACTAGAAAAATCCAATTGGCCTAAGAATAGTATTTGAAAATTAAGATACCGGGGCCATTACCCGGCTTTGACTCAGAGATATTGGAGCAACTTCAGACATGTCTACAACAATCTTCATGATTTAGAACAAATTTCAGGAACGACTCAGGAGAACCCCCCATCACACCACTTTACCTCACTCCGGCAAGACTGACTGCAGCGGAGCCACCATCTCTGCTGCCGCTGTACCATATTCCCATCCTACCAGCTAGCCCCCTCACTGGCAGGATGCATGATAACCCACCCTCTGCTCCTACTCGCCTTATTCGCTATTTGAGGTTCCTAAGCGCTTTCTTTTTTCGGAAAAAAAGTCAGACCCCCCAAACAATCCCCTGCTCCCCACTCCAGCAAGACTTACTGCAGCAGAGCCACCATCTCTGCTGCTGATGTGCTCTATTCCCATCCTTTTTCTTTTTTTTTTTTTTTTCTTTTTTTTTTTTTTAAAGAAGGCTCCATCTATTGGTGGGGAGCTACACCTGCTGGAAATCGGGTCCAGCGTCCCTGTACAATTATAAGAGTGTATCAGCTGGAAATCGCGTCCAGCAGCCCTATACACTGATGTAAATGAATCTGCTGGAAATCGGGTCCAGTACCCCTATGCAGATCCCCGAACCCTAACTAAGTTGTGATACCTGTGATGTGCGTGATGTATGTGTGACGTACGTGGGTATGATGTATGATGTATGGATGATGTATATATGATGTACATATGATGTGTGTGATGTCTATGAACTATGCAACCAAATCCAAACAATGATGAAGCATGTGAGAACTTTATCAATCAAAACGGATCATGAATCACTATGTACGACCAGGACATGGAGTCCAGCGTCATGTATGTATTAACCCAAGACCCTAACGAGGACGTGATGTATGTGGCCTTTTATCAATGATATAGTCATTGTGATGTAGACAGCGTGACACTGTGCCGTTCCCATTATGAAAAACTATGTGAGACTGTCGCTGTTCCGTCTATTCGAACTATTAGCAGGGGCATTGATTACTTCCCAGCGCAAGGAAAGGATTGGCCACCTGCCACCTAATGGGACGATCATCTCTCCTATGTTGATTGATCATGCGGGCCGGGCATCACCAATCAACATCAACAACCCCCATCAACATCAACTATCCTACTCCTATCTTCGGGCAGATATCGGGGTTGAAAGGGGGGAAGGGACAAACATCCCTTTTGTCTGTATCTACCCCATACCCCCCCGCTCTCAACATGCTGATTCTGATAGCGCTGACTGCGCTGCTGCTCCCATGGTTATTGGTGCCGCCATTGTCGTCATCATCGCCACTTCCACCACCGTCCACCCCACTCCCCGCCGCTTCAGCGTGCGTCTTCATTCCCATCATGCTAATCCTCACTGCTCTGCAGCTCCCGTGGTCGATACTGCGGCCGCCGTCGCCGCTTCCGCCTCTGCCGCCATCATCGCAATTGTTTTTTTTTTTTTTTTTTTTTTTTTTTTGGGAAACMCCCCCCTGCCGGTGATGGTGATGCTGGTAAGAGCAGACAACACCACCACCCGGGGAGAGACTCCATCTATTGGTGGGGAGCGTCACCTGCTGGAAAACGGGTCCAGCGTCCCATAAACAGATTGGAAAAAGACATACTGAAAAAAGTTCCTGCCAGCATTGATTGCCCTGGCATCCGGGGGATTAACTGAGCAGGGGGGAGGGCGGGGGGGGAGGGACCTCTTCACCTAAGATCAGGCGCCAGATTCTCCCTGCTAAATCCTAGTACCTCCCTCCCCCTACCCTCCCCGCAATTGTTGTTGTTATGATCCCCATCTCTGTTTTTGTTGTTGTCATCCCCGTCGGTATTGTTGTTGTGATCATCCCCAATCCCCACATCCCTGTTGCCAGCATCGCTGCCAACATCGTCGCCGCAGCCACTGTCATCGCCATTGTTGTTGCTGCCATCCCCATCGCTGTTGTTATTGTTGTCGTCCACCCCACTGATGCCGTTGTTGTTGTGGCTGCAACTGAAGTCGTTATTGTCGCTGATGTTTTTGTTTTCGATGTCGCTGTGCCCGTTATTATTATCGTAGTTGTTGTTGTTGTAGTCCTTGTCGCTGTTTATACTATTGTTGCCGTTGTTGTTGCATTTATTGATGCTGACTCCGGAGTTAGCCTTGTCATCCAGCGCTCCAATCTCCAGCCCGATCACGTCCTCAATATCATCATCTCCCTTCAATCTCTTCTCCAGCTTGAAGCATAAGTTGCCGCCTTCAGCAAAGAGGACGTAACAGGAAGACATCATACTACGTGCTCTCGTCCAATCAATGCAAGATTCTTGCTGGGGATCCGGCCCCTCCTCCAGCTCCCAGATGACATCCAGCATGCCGTCGGCCGTACTCTTCACCCACGCAGTCGGAGAAATCGCCCCCTCTGCATCCTCTGGCTCCTCATGCGACCGCCAAGACAGCTCGGCCACCATCACCTGTAACCTCCTGCATCCATCCTCCAAAGTCAGCAGCCAGTCGTCTGCTCCTCTGTGTAGCTCCCCGCTCAACTCCATCTCCCATCCTACCAGCTAGCCCACTCACTAGTAGGACGCTTGATACCCCACCATCTTTTTTGAACCTGCTCTGTTGCTTCTTTCCTGTTTGGGGGAGTAGCGCAGTCGGTAAAGCAAACAAGGTCATGGGTTCAATTCCCGTTGACCTCGTATACCTTCCTGGGCGTGCTTGGTGTTCGCCATCCAGAGGTAGCCCGTTGGGCCCCCCATTGAGCATGAAGCACATACGGGAGAGGACCAGAGGGGAGGCACATTGACTGGTCCAGCCGGCATGTTCCCTGACACTGCTGCGCGCTGACACCTGGCCAGACCCCTGGCCAGAACCGCCCATGTGCAGCCTCCTGCATGGTCTCTCGTGAACACAAATATGGCTGCTACAGGTCTCTGTGTAATACTGTACTGATATTAAGGGCTTGTCTGTCAGATTCAACAGAAGATAGAACTGGGTTGAGCTACTTAGCCTTATGTGAGTCCCTTCTTTTGTGTCTTTAGCGTTTGAGTGTTAGCAGGCCCAACTTCAAATTCCCCCTTCAGGACAAAACAAAAAGAAAAGTGGGTGCCCTGTCCTTAACGAGTGCTATCTTGGAAGGCATCTAACCACAGATCTGGTTTGGATCCAGTCGAGCTGAATATAGCATGAATGTTTGGCCAGATTCATCCAGAAACAGCCCGCCCAAAGTAGTTGTACCAGAAGAAGAAGAGGAACAAACATGGGGGGGAGGAGGGACTGCATGTCCCACAAAGAGATTGACTGGGACTGCCACCAAGTGGGAAAGAACTCTGACCTCCCTTTTGGGCCTGGCTCTTCTCCTGGACGCAGTTTCTTATAGGCTCTAAAATTTCCTGGGACCTCTACCCAAACATTTCTGCCCTTTCAGGTGGTTTTCCGGGGGGTAAGTCCCACTAGAGGGGAGCTTTTTTTTTTTTTTTTTTTTTTTAAATGGGAACAAGGCTCCAATCTATTCGTGGGGAGCAGCACATGCTGGGAACCGGGCCCAGTGTCCCATATGGAAATTTGCATAGAAGTCTGAAAATTTGAGATACCCGGGCCGTGGCTAAGAAAAATTTGAGGTACTTAGCAAATTACTACGACGAACTTCAGGAATAAGCAAAGTTCAGAAAACGACTCAGAAACCCCCCATCAATCCTCTTTACCTCACTCCGGCAAGACTTATGGCAGCAGAGCCACCATCTCCGCTGCTGCTGTACCCTATTTCCGTCCTACGAGCTAGAGGGGGCTTAATGTTCCTTTCGAGGATTTTCCAAATTTCAATCGATTTTTTGCATAGAAAAAAAATTCGAAAAATAATAAAATATTGAATAACAACATAATCTATTGCGTGGCCCCAGTGCACCCGTGAGATGTTCGGATGGGATGGCAGGAAATGTTGCATAATCAAAACCAGGCCTCAATCTTCTTATTGTTAATATCAGCCTTGGGCACTGGGCCCATTAAAAAAAAAGAAACAAACCCGCTTTCCAGCTGGGCACAGTTTCCTTGGGTTACCCAAACTGAAACGGCACTTATCTCAAGTCATAGTCATACCTTGTAAATAATTAAAAAGTTGCTATAAATTAGTCCTTGCTGACAATGAGTCAGGTGCCTAATTCAGGCAGTGGCGAGGAAAGCTCCACTGGGTTTGGTCTCAGCCAATGTCCTTGATCTCGCATGCCTTATTTTCCAGCCACAACATTTGTCATTCTTTCAGCACCACAGGGAAACATTGTGTAAAAAAATAAAGAAAAGGGATGATCTTCTGGACGGATTTGGGTGGGGACGTGTTCTTTTCCTACGGGAGAGTTGACGAGGGATGGATGCTACTCTCTCGGGTCGGAGAGTGGTAAGGGGTTGTTTGGGTGCATGGTGATACCGTGGCAGTCCTTTGGTGGGCAGGGGTGCCTTGTAGGGAAACCAATGTAGAATTGAGAGTTGTGTCCTACTCTCGATGTCAGTAGACCCATTCTGGGGTGGTGGGCTATCAGAGGTGGTCGGGGGTAGTTGACGAGGGTAGAGGTCTCCACCATTACCACTAAGTCGACTCTCCCTAGCGAACAGACATAAGCAAGGCTCATTAGTAGCAGAAAGCAACCACATACATCCATACAGACTATGATATCACACTAGCTCACAGAAAGCAACCACATACATCCATACAGACTATGATATCACACTAGCTCACATAACAACCAGCATATTCAACAACCAACAGTAGCCATATATGAACCGCGCCGTGCTGGGTTGGTACTTAGAGATAAGGGGCTCATGGGTTAGACCTTTGTTAGCCGACCATTAGACACTGCCTATGAGTGCCCTCAATGCTCACGGGACTAGTTGAGAACTATGCGCCTAACTCCCGAGGTTCCCGTATAACAAGGCTTGTACGGTAGTGCCTCAACTGGGGCTGAATAGGGGAGTTCATTCAGCATCAGTGCCGGCGTCCGCTGTCTGGTCAGGTTGCTCCAGTAGAGAGTGATGTTCCTCGCATGAGGTAAGATAAAAATGGAGTGGGGGTGCGCCAGGAGATATATCGAGAGGAGTGGTAGGATGGGTGTCTTGTGAGTATGTGTAAAAAAAAAGAAAAGAAAAGAAAAAAAGAAATGAACATGCACAAGGCCAACAATAGGGTAAGCTAGGGGAAGGACGGTAAGACTGCAGGCCCACAGACAGAGACAACAGGAGTAGTTCAAACAGCAACTGCCTCCTATTCCCTCTGTGGCAACCTGTGATTTGGGCTGGCTGTCAGCAGGCAAACAACTCAGGACGATGTGTACTTCCAACAGCTAAACACTGGACTCTGATCATTAGAGAAGATACTAGCAGCTCAATGTTATTAGAAGTGAGTCTCAGTTTAAACAATTGCAACAACAACAGACTATCTACTAGATGAATGGCTAAAGACAACAGTCTTAGAATAGGTCTCTAATTCTCCTAACAACAACTGGGAGACACGGGTGAGGTACCGCCTGCAAGTCACTTACAAATGTATGTCTACTCAAACAACAACAATGTTCAGGGACGCTGGACCCGCTTTCCAGCAGGTGCTGCTCCCCACCAGTAGATGGAGCCCCCCGGGCTGTGCTTGAGGTGACTGCTCTTATCAGCACCTCAAGCATCAGTTCAGGCAGTTTAAACCAAAAAAAA